GTATATGTATGTAGATGAAGTTTACTTTTATAAAGTAACAATGTAGTAGTTTGATCGTTATTTTTTTTTTCCTTTTTTTTTTGAGTATCGTAAAATAAAGAAAAACATTAACGCTGTTATAAACGTAGAGAAAGAGAGAGAGAGAGGATGAGAGAGAAAAAAGAGAGAGAGAGAGAGAGACAGACAGACAATGGAAAAATTTGTGAACGTCGATCGTGCTGATCTAAAATTCGAACACACGTGTCAGAGAAGGAGAGATAGAGAGAGAGTGAGAACGTTGCATTTTCAACGGCACGTCTCGCCATGTATTTTCGCGTGGTGCCCTAATTACGAATGCGTGTTTCGCGGGAATCGTCTATGTATTTATACGCTCGGCATCGAGCAAACGGTTTTAGCATCCAACAACGACGAACCGAGGCCGTTTCTGCGGAGACAAACGATTATTTTCAATAGCGAGAGCGCAGAACTTTCTCGTCTTTCAAACGTATACCAGAAAAATTTCTGTCTTTGCATGTAGTACGTATATCAAGCACGTACGAATTTTATCGTCTAATCGATATATATACATATATATATTTATTTATTTATTTATTTATTTATTTATTTATTTATTTATTTAATTTATACCGTTTAAATATCAATTTTCCGCGCAACTTAATACATTTAATTTTCTTCATAATATTTTTGTAAAGAGCAATATTTTGAGAGAACAAAATTTATATGCTCGATTACATTTTTTCGTTATCGTTATTAATTAATTACAATTTCATATAAAATCGAACGAAATCTAATAAGAACATTATTGTATCCATTTTCTAATTTTGATTTAATTTCGACTCTATTTTTTACGATCGATCAAACGAATGATAAAAAGAGAAATAAAAAATGAAGTATAAAGGTTTGAGGATATGATTGGGAAGAACAAGAAAGAAAGAAAGAAAGAAAGAAAGAAAAAAGAAGAACAAAAAGAATATGAATGATTTTACGAAAAGTAAAAGTTCTCTTGAGAAAATATCCTCCCCTCTCTCTCGCCCTTCGAAAAAAAGGCATATACTTTCTAAACTCGGCTTAATATCACTTTCGTTCATGCGTGCGCGCTTTCGAAAATACATTTCGTTCGTTTGCAGCAACGCGTCTGGAATTCGGAGAGAGAAAGAGAGTGAGAGAGAGAGAGAGAGAGAGAGAGAAAGAGATAAGAGAGAGAGGAGAGAGAGGTAGAGAGGGCGTCGTCGCGTCGGCTGTGTTCCGTACGAAAATAGAAAAGAAACGCGAGAAGGAGAAGAAGGAGGAAGAGGAGGAGGAGGAGGAGGAGAAGAAGGAGGACGCGACAGATGGTCCAAAGTTCGATTTTCAGGTAGCGAAGCAAATCGGAAGCGAAGGAACGAGACACCTGCTCCGTTCGAGATCGAGAGAAGCCAGGACTCATCGAGAAGAAACCTGGACCAAAGAGAACAAAAAATTCGTTTCGAAGAAAAAAAAAGAAAAAAAAAGAAGAAGAGGAGGAGAAGGAGGAATTTTTTAATACCACATCCTTCAAATAATTTCTAAGAGTAATTTCCAAAGAATACGTTCTAATTATATTCTGGTGAAATGATATTTCTATCGTTCGAAACTAATCAATGAATGTACGTATATACGAACATACATAGTTCATCAATAATTTCCGATGAATGAAATCATACGTTTAAATATAGTCCATCAATGATTACCAATCTGTCAATGAACATACGAGTCTACGAAATATTTTGTCAATGATTTCTGACGTGTTAATCGATCTACGATGTCTAAAGGCATACTTGTCGATTGATTGAAAATTTGCATATTTATTCGAATCATCATTAATAAATTCATATTATGAATAATTGACGAATCACTCGATATAGAACAATTTTCACGTTAGAAATAAAATTTTACATTGACAATAACGAAAGATTTGAATTCAATTCGTAAAGTATGAAAATTTAATATCACCGAATAAATTTAATCGTAAACAATACAATTAACATTTGTGAGAGGAGAAACAAAAAAAAGAAAGAGGAAAAAGGGGAAAAAAAGAAAAAGAAAACAGAGGAAAAAGAAAAATTTAATGATAAATTGCGATCGATAATGAATTATTGCTGCAATCGTATTGCAATCGTTAATGATTAATGCAATGAAATATTTCTCTGTCATAGCTAACGTTGCATAAAATAACGTTATCGTTGACTCATTAACGTCCACGTATCATTTCCCTCTAACGCTCTATCTCTATCGACGAATTTTAACAGACTGTTAGTACGTAATAGACTATAGTACAGTTGTTATAACGAAGTAACACAGAAGACGGATAAGGAAATGTGAAAGAGTAAGACCGACAAGAAAAGAAGAGAAACGTAGTTTGCAAGGCGCTTTATCCGAATGAAATTCGCGTGTCACGACTACGTTTGTCGAGGTTAGCTGCTGCTTTTCGAGTCGTCAGATAAAGAAGTCTTCCCGTAGAGAGAATATCGTAGAAAGAGAGAGAGAGAGAGAGAGAGAGAGAGAGAGAGAGAGAGAGAGAGAGAGAATACACCACCGTACGTCGTTCTTCGGTTTGAGACGTCTCATAGATCAGGATAAGGGCTAAATGTGTCATTAGAATTTTTCATCGTGTCGACGACGAGAGAATCGATCGTCTTCCAACGCGATAAAAACGATTTTAAAGAGTGCTCGACCTTCGTCAAATCGTCGAAAGAAAATTCCAACGTGCTTTCGCGTTTCCCCAACAATTTTCTAATTTTTAAATGAACGTGATAGAATCAAAAGAGAAGAAGAAGAAAAAGAAGAAGAAGGAAAGAAAAAAGAGAAAAAGAAAAGTCAAATACGAAGTGTAAAGGAAAGAAAAAGGAAAAAGAGAGAAAAAAAATAAAGAAAAAAAAGAAAACCTAAATATATGCGTACGCACGTACTTAGATGTATCTACTCCTAACTTTTTCTTCTTTCCTTCTTTTTTCTGTTTTTTTTTTCTTTTTTTGAAATCTAATCTCCTAGAACGAGTCTAGGCTTTACGGTATTGCATCGGAACATGAACATAGTCGTATCATTGGGATTTTCCAATCGGTATAGAGAACTAAAAGGGCTGAATGCGCAATATGAATACGGTATTAGTAGAATCATAGGGCCTGTTTATGATTTGTATAGGCCGATTGAGTACAAGATCCGTCGTGTGACGGGAACGTAATAGGCATACGGACAAAGTACGCCAATAGGATGAAGCCGTGTGTACGGCATTGACGCCCTGTGCGTTATACTCTACAATCTACATACATATATATACAAATATATATATATACATATATGTATGTATATATATCTGTAGATATATATATATGTCTACAGATATATAACTTGTATAATATATATATATATATATTATATACAGAAGAAAGACATATATAGAACGTTACTATATTCCAGATAGAAGCGGCAAAGTGCGAAAGGCAGAGAGACTCGCGGATTTGCACGCTCGCGAATCCTTTTGAGCTCGGTTTCACCCTTCGTAAATACGCCATATCCGAACGTCGACTTCCTAAAAGCGAATTGTGACAGAATTCCGCAACAAGAATCGATAAGCGACGATAAAAGTAGAAGAGGGAAGCGTATGAAAGCTCTTTTGATTTCTCTTTAGCATCTACATATGTACCTACCTGTCAGAGTTTTCAATAATAAACATTACTTTAACCTTTTAAAAATCGATTTTCCAACAGGAAAGCAGGATATATATATATATATATATATATATATATATATATATGCATATATATATATATAATATATGGCAAAAGAAGCGATAAGGATCTTAGAAAATCGCAGTAAAAATTGTCACGTTTTCCCATCGATATTACTTCGACCCTTTTTAAGAATAATCGATACTCGATGTCAAAAAGACACAGACGGATGAAAATAGAAGAATTTGCTGTTAGGAATCTCGTGAAAATTTTTTCCCTATCTCTGGAGGAAAAAGGATGGAAAAAAAAGAAAAAAGAAGACAGAGAAAGAGAGAGAGAGAGAGAGAGAGAAGAAACTTACAGCAAAATTGTCACGTTTCTCGAATAACGAAATTTCCATTCCTAAATTCGACTTCCTACTGATCCACGACGGATATTCATAGGTTAACAGTCATTCTAATCTCATCTTCCGCCCTTCACGAAAAAAGAACCGAAACGGAGTATAAGGCACGAAGGGTCACGGGCAGGTTTCGGTGTAGAGAAAGAGAAAGAGAGGGAAAAAAAGGTAAAGAAAGAAAGAATGAAAGAAAAAAAGAAAAGGAAAAAAGAAAAGAGAATATAAAAGGGAGGGCAGACGGTCCCTCGGGCCTAGCCTTAGGGAGAAAGAACCACCTGCCCTGGCGGGATCCTCTCCCCCACTTTATTTGAAGTACGGAAGAGAAGGCCCTAAGCTTCCTTGCCCTTACACCAGACTGCGCTATCAACGTTGAAAATGATCGCAACCGTCGTCGTTTCATGGGACCTACAGAACTTGCCGGGACCGAAGAAAATGTCTAAGAGAGAGAGAGAGAGAGAGAGAGGAGAGAGAGAGAGATGGAATACTATGCGCGCGAACAACGGCTGTCGTTCTACTGAGAAGGGGGAGGGACGGTGAGAAACGGTGGGGGGTTGCAACGGCAGCGCACGACCCCACGCTCAGTTGCCGTGCGACCGTCGAGAGGTGCGCATTGCTTCAAACTGTCTTGAATTTTTTTCGCTCTCTCTCTCTCTCTCTCTTTCTCTCTTTCTCTCTTTTTCTCTCTCTCCCTTTTTCTCTCCCTTTTTCTCTATCCATCTCTTTCCGTTTACATACCTTCGTGTGATTTTTTTTATTTCCCCAAATCACGAGAGAAGACGTTATTTATATATTTATATATATTTATATATATTTATATATACATATATATATATATATATACATATACGTATATATACATATATGTATATTTTTTTTTTTATTTATTCGATAAAAATTTAGAAGAATTTTATGGTGAAAGTTAAAGAGATAATTTTAGTGCGTGGGTGTGTGTGTGTGTGCACGTACGTGCATGCGTACGTGCGCGCGTGTATATATATATATATATACATATTTTATGTGTTCGTGCTTACGAAGGGATCTCTTAACACAAGTTGGATTTCACTTTAATATTGGATTATATTTTAATGATCACTGCGACCATGTGATCGTGAAAAAGAGAACGAGTTCGAAGGTGGAGATGTAGAGAGTGTCCTTAAGGATTGTGCGAAAAAAAAAGTGAAGATAAAAGAAGAGAAGTAGGAAAAAGAAAAAAAAAAAAAGAAAATTAAAAGATAAAGAATAGGTGAATGTGGTGAAAGATCGAAGCAATGAGTACGAGATCTACGTGTGTTCTCGGATCGAAGGTGAAAGTTCGATTCGATTTTTGTAAACGTGTAGTACATTCGATGGAATAAAAAAAAAGAATATATATATATATATATTCAATGAAAAGATTACGTGTGAAAGAAGATAGTGAATAAAAAAACAAACAAAAAAAAAGGCAAAGGAGAAAGGAAGGAAGAAAGAAAAAAAGTAGGAGAAGAAGAAGTAATAGTGTATACGCGATTATTTCTTTCAAACTTTGATTTTTTTATTTCTCTCTCAAAGAGGATCTCTTCGATATGGATAAGCGTGCCTTCAGGATAACGCGGAGCACACGGATAGCGGTGCTGCACATTTTACTTCTGTGCAGTGGTGAGTATATCCGGAACATTCGCACTTTTCATTAATATCTAATAATACAATTTTATATATATATATATATATATATATATATATATATATATATACATATATGTATGTATAATTAGAGGATACTAATTCAATGAATAAGAATGAATTCATTCGTACGTTTTCTATTGTAAAAAAATCTCTGAACAATTATTATTATTACTATTATATATTATTATTATACATTAATGATATTATTGTATTACACTCGCTTTATAGGAAAGAAAAAAATGTTTCTCATCGTTAATTTAATTTGATTTACAAGCACGAATTAATATTGAAAATGTGGATTTTTTTTTTTTTTTTTTTTTTTTAAGAAAACCTAATGAACATCAACGAAGAATGAAAATGAAAAGATAAATCAAATATAGGGCCGTGAAAATTGATCGTTCTGTTCGCGCATATCAATGAAGTCGTTACCACGTGACGTGACGTACTCAACGTATATATACTATCAATGCATCTACTAGGCACTACACGCAACTGAGATGCAACCGCGCGTAACGTACCTGGTTTTTTGTCTTTTTTCTTCTTTTCCTCTTTCTTTTTTTTTCTTTTTTCTTTTTTTTTATTTTTTTTATTTTTTCCTCGCGTCAACGCTTTCGTAAATGCGGAATGACCGATGCGTGTGATAACAGTAGGTTGAAGGGGGTGAGGTGGGATAGGGGAGGGTGAGAAAAAAAGCTCGCTTCGTTTCATCGAGTTACATTTTCAGTGTGCTCAAATGATCGAGGTCAATATAACTAACGCGGATTATATCGAGATGGTGCGATAAGCAAAACGAATTTTGTTTTTTTTTTTTTTTTTTTTTTTTTTTTTTAACGTTCTTCGAAACTTTCAAAAACGCGGAGAGAGATAACGTCGTTCGATTGAAAAAGTTCTAATAATCGCGAGATTAAATAAAGAGAATGAACGATACGGGATTTAATGTGATAATTAAAATTTTTGTCCTTTTTTATTTATTTATTCATCTATTTATCTATTTATTTATTTTTTATTTTTTCATCTTAATTCTCAATTCTATTATTAATCGGCGAAGCGTAAAATTATATCCGAAATATTATACTTATAACGATATAAATTTCGATTATGATTTATTCGACTTTCTCTTTAAGTGTGGTATTATCGGATACGCGATTAGAACACCGTTCGTCGAAGCATTAGGAGTTTCGTTGGTAATGTTCCTAAACTATACATGCGTATGTCATGAAACACAAATTTTCTCTCTCTCTCTCTCTCTCTCTCTCTCTCTCTCTCTTTCTCTCTCTCTCTCTCTTTCTTCTTAGCGATTAAATCTAAACTGTTGTAATAGGATAATGGTATAAGACGATAATAATAATTCCATCATTTAGATAATTTTATATTAGCGCCAATGATTCCTTTGAAATTTTTTTTATAAGATCAATGAAGGTGGCGAACGATCGATGTCAACGGTTCGACTTTCGCAAAGCTCTTTCTAAGAGAGTAAAGCGAATAAAACGAGATCGATCGGTCGTATGAAACTCGATGATGCGTCGTCTTCGAGTAGATATCCCGCTTATTTCTGTCGTATTAACGCCATCGTCCCTTTCCATCGTATACGATATCACGTAAACATCGATTGCATAAGCAGAAATTTCAACGTTGACAGGGTTTCATAATTTTTCATATTAAGCAAGCATCTCGTATTCCAATTTTTTTTCCTTCCCTTCCCCTCCTTTTTTTTTTTTAATACCAAACAATCCTAATATCCTAAATAAAAAAGAATATATACGTATATATATATATATATATACATATATAATGTACGAAGATATGTTTTCATTCGCTTTATCGATAATTATAATTATAATACGTATTGAAATTAATATGAACGTATATATCGTTTAGTTAAAAATGAAATGGAAAATATAATTAAAATGGTGAGGAATAAAGAAAGATAAAGATTTATCTCGGAAAGTTTCATGGATTTTAATAAAAGATCGTCTTTTACTCTGAAATAGAATGAAAAAAAAAAAAAAAAAAGAAAGAAAGAAAAAAGTAAAAGATAAAAATAAAGAAGAAGAAGACAGGAAGGATTAAAGTAGAGTAAGTTCTTAAAGGTCAAACCGGAGGTTTCTCAGGAGGTCCTTCTTTTCCGAGATAAAGACGATCGGTGGTCCGGTCGAGCGATTCTGTTATCGGTAAATACGATGGTATAGAATACGACTCCGGTAGCGAAGTAAGTTATGCGACGAACGACTCGACTTATCGCGAATCGCGAGGCAGAGTTTCGTGCTGACCGAAGTCCGGCAAACGGAAGTACGATTTACGATGTTATACCCACTTTATACTTAACGTTCGTTCGTTCGTTCGTTCGTTCGTTCGTTCATTCGTTCGTGTGTGTCCTAGGAAATCATAAATTTCGAATCAACGTTCGAACGAGTCTCTCGTGTAAATCCCTAGGATTATCTCGCGAGATGCGTCGCGATGTCAATGAGCCAACGTGAACAGTGATTCTCAACATATTTATTCCAGATATATTTTTTTGAAGGGCAAAAAAAAAAAAATATATATATATATATACAAATAACATATAAATAACTTTGGGCTTCTTCGTGGCATCGTCAAAGAAAAAAGGGGAAAAAAAAGTTTAAAAACGCGTTGAAGGAAAATGTTTCATCGTTTTATGAAATTCGCGAATGCATAAAGCAAAGTTTATGTCACTTTACCGAGGGCGCATCCTGTGCGAAATCATAAATTCCGAATCAAAGTTCGAACGAGTCTCGGGGGCTCGTCTCTACGAAGGAAAGTCAAAATTATGTTACGTGCATGGGTGTTGGCGTGTCGCGAACGTGAAATACGATACCGAGAAAGATGCATATATTCATAAGGGTCAAACCTTTATTTTGTTTTTATACACACAAATTTAGCATATTATAATATCAAAATGAGAGAGAAAGGGATATATATATATGTGTGTGTTGAAAAAAATTTATCAAACGCGTTAGAATGTAATATTATATTTGAAAGAGCAAAAAAGAAAAAAAAGAAAGGAAAAGAAATATTGTCCTCGATCGTTCGAATTAAAATGGTATTGATAAAAAAAAAAAGGAAAAAAAATGAGAAAGATCAGATTCACCGTAAGAAAACCGATTTTTCTTCGATCTTAGCTCAAACGAGAATAAGTGTAAAATGCAAGGAGAACTATCCGTCTTGGCGCTCGAACGTAAAGTAAAGAGAAAAACGTACGTCTCGGTGCCCGAAGCGTTTTGTATTCTTCTAACCGGCTCAAGAACGAACCAATGAACGTACACGAACGTACACGAACGTACATACGAACGAACGAACGTCGTACGATCGCCAATGCCATGCTATGCACTTTTTCTCGTCGGTTAAAGAAGGCGCGCGCGCGCGCGTGCTAATGACGCGAACGGAATGAAGTTCGATAAGATGCTTTTCTACAGTATCGCGAAAAACTTCTAACTGGGTACGACATAAGTTTCCAACCGAGTTTCAACGTGGAACCTTTTCAATGTTAGAGAGAGAGAGAGAGAGAGAGAGAGAGAGAGAGAGAGAGAGAGAGAGAGTAACTTTTCATACAATTTTCTATTACAACAGTATATCTATGTACGTACGTTATTAACGTCACAAACTATTGTAAACTATTTCGTTCGTATAAAATTAAAACAAACAAGAAAAAGAGAAAAGGGATGAAATGAGGATGGAAAAAGGAAAGGGAAAAATGCAATACAATGAGGGGAAAAAAAAGAAATTGAGAATTAATCGATTTATCGTAGACGTGATGTTGACTGATAAAAATAAAAAGAAGAAAGAAAGAAAATAAAAAATAAAATAAAAAAAAAAAAAGAAAAAAAAGAAAAAGAAACGAAGTAAAAGAAGAAAAACCAAACGCGACATTGAACGAGCATAAAGGCGTTATCCTGATATCTTGATAACATCGAAACTAAAACGGTTGCTCCATTCATCGTGCAGAAGAGCTCGTCGTATCCGTATCCCGAAACGATTTGTCATAGAGATCTAAATCCTCCAGGGAGAAATCGCCTAACGACTCGGCAAAGGCATAGAGCGAGCATCTCTATACTCTCTTCGTTCGATCGAATGCATACACGTTTGAATCTCGTGATGGCGAACACACGGAAGAAACATTTATATGTGTATGTATATGTATATGTATACCTACCTACCTACCTACGTACGTACGCATAACTATACTACACTAGTCCATCGTAATTCGTTTTACGCAATCCAATCGGAATGCACGAGAGAGTTATAACAAATGACGGAGTAGGTATAACCAAGCGCTTTGTAAAGGTGGAAATTGCAGGGAAAGGTTACTGCTCGTTAAAAATGACTCTTTCAAATCATAAATCACCCTAATGATTTGCCAGCAGTTGTTGTAATCTGGAACTTTATCATCTTTCAAATGAATGACTTATACGTGTTTTATTTCAAATACTGTCGAATATTGTTATACAAGTTATTCTTATACGATGGAATTAAATATCGAACTTTTCTTTTTTTATTATTTTCTCTCTTTCTCTCTCTCTTTTCCTCTTAATAAATATATATATATATATTCATACGTTCGAATGATTTTTTTCAATCGTATCTAAACATTCAAAAGAAATATACGAACAAACGATTCAAGGATTTAACATCGAAGCCTTCCTTCGTGGTTCTATTCACCTTGGCTAATCTCCCACTACTCGCCATTACTCTCCTCTCTCCAGCCGCTTTCTATGCTCCACCCTCCTTCTCCCTCTCCTTCACCTTTTCCATCTCCATCACCATCTTCTTCTCCTTCTCCATCACCATCATCCTATCTTCCTCTCCAAGCCTTACTACGTCATTACACGTCCGTAACTCCTTCGAGAACTTCGACTAATTCGTTCGTATTGACCAAAAAAGAAAAAAAAAAAAAAAAGAAGAAAAAGAAGAAAAAAGAAACTTACGTTTCCAACTACTACCTATCTTTAATACTCCCAATTAAATTTAATGATTTAGTTTAAAAACTCTTTAAAACAAACTTCTTTTCGAATAGAATTTTTGCGAAGTATTTTCTTTCTTTCTTTCTTTCTTTCTTTCTTTCTTCTTCTTTTTTTTTCTCTCTAATCTTTTTTACCTCTTTCGATTTTTCCTTCGAATCATTTTAAATTGAGAACCACTGACGAAGTTCACACGCATATTGGTCGAGCGTTTTTACCCTTTTCGTACTTGTTTCACTGTTTATGTCATTCTGCTCGTAGAGGAATGTCAACCAACGAGTTGTACGCAGTCGCATCCAGCTGTACATATATATATACATGTATATATATATATATATACCCCTCTCTTTCTTTCTTTCTCTCTCTCTCTCTCTCTCTTTCTCTCTTTTTATTCACGTGAAACGTGGAAAATCGAGGACGGACGTCCGTCATTTCGTAGGCGCTTTCTATTCCTCTACGAACGAATCTAATCTTGAAGAACATCGCTAAAGTTTTACTATAACTATCGATCGAAAATCTTCCCGAGATTTTTTTTATATATACGCATATACACACACGCGCACGCGCGCGCATATATATATATATACGTATATGTATGTGTATAGTGTATCAAAAAAAAAAAACAAAAAAAAATAATACAAGAAATATTCTAAAAGATCGCGAGTAGGAAGAAAAAGAAAAAGAAGGAGGAAAAAAGGGAAAGAAAAAGAGTAAAAGTCCGTTTGTGGATTATTTTAAAATAAACGAGACAGCTGGTGGTACACAGAGACATGGTAAATACGGAGTTCGGTTTGAAACGAAGCACGAGAACTAAGAAGCATAGGCGTCTTAGGAATACGAAATTTTGTGCTCTCGTAGATCTGTGTTATCTATACGTTTGTATGTTCACACCTTCGAATGTACAAACTTCTTCTTGTCAATTGGAAAGTATCGTTTGGAAGAAAAAAAAGAAAAAAGAAAATAAAAAAAAGAGAAGAGAAAAAAAGGAACGAGAGAAAAAAGATCGTACGTCTTCTAAATTCGATTTAGAAGATAAATTTTCCTCGAAGAAACTCGATTGATTATACAGGATGTGGTAAAAAGTTCTTAGGTGATTTTACAAATCGATTAGATATCTTTTTTCTTCTTCTTCTTCTTCTTCTTTTACTTTTTTATAGACTCAATTCTCACGTTTTCCTATACCATTCGTGGAAATTGCAACAGTCTTAGAGAATTGTTTACGATCGGAAAAGCAAAAGAAAGGGAAAATGAAAGAAAAAAAAAAAAAAAAAAAAAAAAAAAATAAGAAAAAAGAAATTACCGTGTAAAAAGACTTTGAAAATGGAATCGTCGATTCGTAAAATCGTTCAAGAATATTTCAAACGTACGATGATATAAATTACCAATGGTGGTCTCTCGTTTTTAAAACACCTGTGACAATACACCGGATAGATTCCATCGTGCATGATTAATATTGTAAATATTCAAAGATAATAACTTGCGCCGTTCTTATTAATGATGAGAAAATTTTGCAGAGAATTTTCTTTTCTTTTTCTTCTTTTTTTTTTTTTCTTTCTTTCTTTCCTTTCCTTCCCTTTCGACGTTGAAAATTCGCGGAAGTAAATCGCGTTAAACCGATGGATCGTAAATATGAAAGAAGGAGAGAAGAGGGGAGAGACAGAGAGAGAGAGAGAGAGAGAAAGAGGTACATAAAACTCTAGAAGAAAAGAAGAAAGAAGTTGACTACCGCAGTTGCTCGGTCGTAAAATGAACGCCGAGAGATGAGGAGAAGAGGTCTCTCTCTCTCTCTCTCGATATCGTTAAAGAGTCGAACCGGTGATTTTACCGTTAGGCGACCCAATGACGAAGCACATTCGCAGGGACATCACAAGTCTCGTGGTTCCGAGATATCGAACGGTACTCGTAGTGCTATCGATCCATATGCCTAACGTTTTTAATCCCTTTACAATCGATTTTCATGCTAATACGAGAGCACGTTAAAATTTCATTGATAGTGAATCCCAAACGTACTTACGATTGTAATACAATTAACGTTATATAAATGTATTTGGTTATTAAAGGGATAAATTTAAAAGGATCCAAAATAATTCTACGGGATGAACTTTTTGATATAATTTTGATAACAATAGGGAATCAATCCCTTTTATCGTTCTACTTTCTCAAATTAATATCACGATAGTATCAATTTGATCGTCAACTTTTTCTATATCATTTTCTATAATCGTACGTTTATACTTACATCAGGTATGTAAAAGAGATTTATCGAAAGGAATTTAATGAATTAACTATTTGATATATACCATCGAACATTTCATCCAGGAATCTATTTCGATCTTGGATTATTTTATAGGACTAACTCTTTTTTTAATTCGATCATACTAAATGTAGCATTTTTTATATGAGCAATATACAAATCCAGACGATCTATTTGATATAATTTTGATCTATTTATATAAATATATATATATATATATATTTTTGTATTCCAAGAATCGGAATTTGACATCGATAATAGAAATACAAATTCGACATTGAAATTTGACACGATCAAGATAAAAATATAAATAAGAACGAGATCGAAGAGGATCGATGAAACAAAACAAAAGAAAAAAAAGGAAGGAGAAAAAATGTCGTGATAAAGTTATTCGATATAGTTTTGACGAGAAGAGTGTTATCGATCCGTATGCTTGCGTCGCACGACGACTCAGTTTCGAGCCGATGACTCCCTTCGATGCAGAACGCACGGCCTGATTTACTTCGGTGTCGCTAACCCGTCTGCCGTAAAATCATCCCCTTTCGATCTCAAGACACATTCCTAGTTAGCGCTTTGTTATAGTTTTTTTTTTTTTTTTTTAATTGTTCTTTCGAATTATCGAATATAAAACTTTTCAAAGGAACGAAGCTCGTTCGACATTAAATATGAATTATCTTTGTTGTTTCAGCTCTAACGCAGGGCCGAGTCGAGGAAACGCAGATGGACACGCACGAGGGTTCAACGGTACAATTGCAATGTCGATTCGAACCGCCAAAGGAAAACGTAACGTGTTTTTGGTTGACCCATACGAACAACAATCATGACAACGCGGCGATCGAGAATCGTTCGTTATCACCGAATTATAACGTCTTTATGAATCTCGAGGAAGGTCGTTACGACCTACAAATAAGAAATGTTTCGTACGAAAGGGACAATGGGAAATACGAGTGTCGAGTTAAAGTGAGTAGTACGGGTATGGATATCCATAGGAAGTATATCACTTTGACGGTATTAAGAGCACCAGGGCCACCAACGATATCTCCAACCTCGGCGCCCGCTACCGAAGGACAAAGATTGGAACTTCAGTGTAATACGAACGGTGGTAGTCCTGAACCCGAGGTAAGATGGTACCGGGGTAACAACACGACTCTTCTTCATTCCGGTAGAACGTTATTGGTCGAACCAACGAAGGAAGACGATCGTGCTATATTTCGATGCGTAGTAAGAAATCGTGCTATGAGAGAAGGGGAGACATTGAACGCCACAGTTACGCTCGATGTTAATTATTTCCCTCGCGTTACGGTAGGCCCAGGAAATCCATTGAAAGTCGAGGTGAACGGTACCGCAACATTGGAGTGCCATGTGGATTCGAAACCAGTCGTTGGCATGGTACGTTGGTGGCGCGACGGTAGTTTCATTGCAACAACCTTTCAACATGTTATACAAAAGGTAACGTTGCAAGATGCTGGCAAGTACACTTGCCAAGCCGACAACGGTCTAGGAAAGAAAGGCGAGAGTTCTTTGCTACTCGATGTACTTTATCCACCGACCGTGTCTATCGAAGGTGAGAGCGTTAGAATCGCTCAGGTTGAGGACACCGTGACGGTACACTGTAACGTATCGGCCAATCCAGCCCCGTCCATAGTCGAGTGGCTCCGTGAAGGTCGCCCGGAGTTCAGACAATCCGGTTCGATATTGAGATTAACTCGAGTCACGGCCGATCACGCTGGAAATTACACTTGTCGTGCTGTTAATACCATTCATCCGACCGGTGGCGAACGAAGGAATCATTCGGCCAAAGCACACGTCACCGTTCGAATTAGGCACAAGCCTGGACCGGCCAGAGTAACTCCAGACTCGCCTGTAGCCGTCGAAGGTTCCAGAGTTATTCTAACCTGTATGGCTAGTCCCGCCGGTTATCCCGAACCCCAATACAAATGGTGGAAGGAGGGTGACGGTGAAAATATTCCTGTTAGAACCGAAAATTCTGGCCCTAAGTATGAAATTGATTCTGTACATTTGGGAAGCGAAGGTACATACAAATGTTACGCCATGAACGAGATTGGAAATGGCGAAGCTGCCTCCGTTAATCTCACAGTTCATCAACCTCCGAAGATACTCACGAAATTACAACCTCACGTCACGAGAAAGTAAGTATTGTGGCATTTTCTTTTTTTCTTCTTTCTTTTTTTTTCTCGCGACTTCATCCTTGCATTTTCCTTTCTCCCGAATTCTCTCTCTCTCTCTCTCTCTCTCTCGCGCGCGCGCATTTAATGATTCTCTACGGGAAATAAATTCAACCCTTCAAAGAGATAAATAGTTTGCGATTCTCGATACTTATTCGACGCAGGAAAAATAAAAGAAAAAAAGAAAAAAGAAAGAGAGAGAGAGAGAGAGAGAGAGAGAGAGAGAGAGAGAGAGAGAGAGAGAGAGAGGAAAGAAAAGAAGCAATTCGAGTTCCCTTTGAGAGTAACATCGAAGCGTAGAAACCGCACATGATGTTTGCACGATCGATCGGAACGAATCGCTTCGAACTGCCAAGTCAAATTTCTCTCTCTCTCTCTCTCTCTATGTATATATATGTATATATATATATATATATATATATATATATATATATATGTATGTATATCCATATGTATATATATATCTCTACGTTTGCTTTCTCTATTTCTATTCGCAGAGTCGGAGAATCTTCCTTTCAAGTGTCGTGCGTGGCACAAGGGAAGCCAAGGCCTAGCGTGCGTTGGTTGAAGGACGACCAAGAGTTAACGGCCGACGAAAGATTATACAAAGTGATAACGACCGCTTCGGAAGGTCATGGTAACGTGATAACCGTGAACTCAACATTGAGTTTTTTGGGTCATGCTCGTCCGCAAACCGATGAGATCATAGCGAGTGACAGAGGAAAGTATACGTGCGTTTTCGTTAACGAAGTTAAAAAGGTCGAGTCGACGATGATGTTGAAGGTCGAACACGAGCCAATAATTTTACATCAGCACGGAAAGGTTGCATACAATTTACGTGAAACCGCCGAAGTTGCGTGTAAAGTTCAAGCTTGGCCGAAGCCAGAATTTCAATGGAGTTTTGGTAATAACGCGGCGACGTTACAAGGATCGTCTAGCGATGGTCATTACGAGATATCTACGAGCAGCGACAATTACGACGTTTATACCTCAGTTTTAAGAATGACCAATATAAAACAATCAGATTACGGTGATTATACTTGTCGAGCGGCCAATGCTCAAGGTAGCATTACTTCGACGATCAGATTACAACCTAAAGGTGCACCTGAAAGACCGATCAACATAACGGCTATGGATATTGGTCCAACTCATGTCGCGTTACTTTGGGAATTAGGTTTCGATGGTGGTCTACCGATAACGAAATATTTCGTTTCTTATCGAAGAGTAGCTGGAGGTGACGAGGTGATAACTCCTGATTGTACACCACCTAGAGGACCAGCTGGACAGTGGCTCGAAATGGATTGCAGGAGATCGAATCCTTGCAACGTTACAAATCTCGAACAACATCAGACCTATACCTTTAAAGTTAAGGTCTACAATACGAAAAATCATTCGGATTATTCGGACGAAGTGGTTGCAACTACGGCGGTAGCGAAAATACCCACGCCGCTTCGCGTCAGCTATGATCCCGAGACCGGAACCCTGGCTATAAATATTGGCGCGACTTGTTTGGCTTTGATTGCTTCGATCGAGAAATTCGACGGAACGGACAATTCATGGAGAATCGTCGAGGAGTGGCCTTTAGAAGTATTAGGAAATGCACCTACGCAAAGAGAAAGCATACTAGACGATCCGGAATCTTCGGATTCAGAGCCACGTCTCAGAATTAGGCTATGTCTAAAGGCCGATCGTCAAAAGTGTGGAGAATATGCTGAGGCTGAAAGTGAGTTTGTTTGTTAGAATTTTCATCGGCCATAAAACATGTTTGTACGTCTAAATTTGTTTTCTCTCTCTCTCTCTCTCTTTTTTTCTTTCTTTCTTTTCTCGTTGTCGATTGAGATCTCGTACAATATGAGATGTTTTGTGGTACGCTTTGATCCTTAGCCTCGCTTAATCTTTCTGTTAAACAGTCGGCCCATCTTATATAGCGCAAGCTGGTGCTCTTGCAACGCCGACGTTGATCGCTCTGGTAGTTAGCGGCGCAGTCTTCTTACTTTTCGCCGCTCTCTTACTTTTGTTCTGCCGATGCAGACGAAAGCACGCTGCCAAGGCCAAGGATTATGAAATGGATACCAACGCGTAAGTTTACGCGTATCAACATTATTACGTTACGCGTGTTAATTACATAAAGCTTTAGCTGTATAGTAGTCGAAAGGTTTCGATTGAAATAATACTTATCGACGACAAACCATCTGACGATATGTTTCCTTTCAAACGTTTTCTCCAGAGTACGACCTAGCTTAGTAGCTGGAAATGGTCAACAAACTCAAGCACCACCGCCTTATTACGCCGAGAATAAAGCCCTCGAACATAGTTTGGATCATGCACTAGCTATGGAGGATTCAAAGAGTCCTGCTTATGCTCAACCTGGATACGGTTATCATCAGCCCAATCATAACATCAACGGTGAGAACGGTAAATGTTGAATTATTTCTAACTCTATATTTAAGGGTTCCTATGCATTAACTAATACGTGCCATGCTTTAAAAATTTTTACCTTAATTTTCTCTTTCTAACGAATTCGTTTAATACAAAATGGAAATTTCTAATAAGACATTTCGCACTGTAGGTGTCAATATGGGTTATATGGACAATAGCTATTCAAATTCAAACAACGGCGGCTCGGTGAATTCACAAGATTCTATCTGGCAGATGAAGTCGGCGGCAGCAAACGGCGTCAACCAACCATATGATTTGGGTGGATACGCCACCACCGAGTCCGATTATCCGGCGCACCCACATTACAGGGAGAGCCATAATCTTAGTCGGCAACAATTTTGCCCGGAGCCATTCGCTACGGTTGTCAAGTCTCAAAAACACGTTGGTTCGTATTCTATTATGTAAAAATAAACCGAAGGCTCGTTCAAAGATAAATTTCTCTTTATTCGTCTTTCAACGATTGTTACCTATATTTAAAACCAATTAACGTCGGTCGTTTTAAAAGATGAATCGACAGAGCTTAATCGATCGATGATTAATTTCATTTCGAATATTTCAGATTCACCGTACGATGTTTCTGGATTACCCTATCAAGAAAATTACGACGAGGACACGAAGCCACCGCAACAAGTGAGCCTGTCCTACGACGAGAGTTTAGAATCCGGTTATTCGACTCCCAACAGCCGTGGCCGTAGAATTATCAGAGAAATAATCGTCTGAGACCTGCCTACCGGCTCGCGAGCCGGAAACACGCGTACTACTTGGCTATAGCAGCAGGCCCCCCATCGGCAACCGTTGGCGCAGTACAGACAACATCAACACCACCGTCATCGAATGGAGATAGTGATCGAGAATCCCTCGGAATCGCAATCGGTGACACCCAGTGCGTCTGGCCACGTGACTGTGGCTGCAGCTGCAGCAGCAGCAGCGGTGTCGGCCATGTCCGAGACGGGAACGATGACGACGGCAACAGCAGCAGCAGCAGCAGCAGCAACAACAATAATAACAACAACAACAACAACCACTACTACTACAACAACGTTGGATATAACGACGACAACTAATGCGGCCGCAACTGTCGCGGCAACGGCAACGGCGACAACGACTACGACCAATTTGAGTCATAATTTTCTACGTTCGCCACGTTGTAATCCAATTATTTATGGTGGCCAATCCGAACAAGATTATTATCTAACACAGAGAAGTCCTCGTCCATTAAGTTCCATCGATGACTTTGATAATGGAACCACTATGAGACGAGTCGATAGATCTGGATTATTAGAAATTTCAAGTTTGGACACATCGTCGTCACGTTATCGACACTGCAGGCCAATCGGTGCCGAGAGTATAGCCGGTCATGCTGGTACTCTACCTCGTCGAGTCGATCGTTCTGGTCTTTTGGAAGCTCTCCCCGAACTACCCGAGAATCGTAGAAGTTCTGAAGAAATATTAAGAAGTCCATACGGTCTACAGGAAGTGACTATGATCAAGCCGGACGTTGTTGCACTCGTACGATCCCCAACTTATGATTCTTCAACGAGATTCTCTACGCCATCGCCGTCCCTATTACGTCCTACGGAAAGTCCTAGTCCAGGTACGATCTCGAGAATATCACCAACGGCTAATTTAACTCGTCGGGCCGACGGCGACTCTGTACCGAGTAACGAACGTACCCTAAGATATCGTTCCACGACCTCGGATAATACGTTTATTCCTATCGAATCTTCTATTGGCCTACCAACGAGATACTCTTACACGGATAAAAAGAATTTTTCTTCGTGCGCGAGGAAGGAAGATGAGAACGAGATAGATAAGATCGTATCTACCGAGGAACTGGATACGAGCAAGGACGAGAGGGATGAAACTAATTCCGAATTCTCCTCGAAAGATGAGAATATTGAAAATTATGATAAAGATGATAACGACGTACCAAGAGGGGAAAGGGCCGAGGCCGAAGGTTGCGAAAATACAACTAGTGAAAATCTCGAAGAAGGTAGAGTTTCGTTCAACAATGCCTCCAACAATAAACTCTATCACAATGACAACGTTCAAACGCTAACGGTGATAATACTGTCGGAACAGTTGTGAGGCCAATACTCCTCGTCGTCCCCCTTGAACGATAATCCGTCCGAGAGACCTTGACTGGTTCCTTAAGGACGGGGGAACGTTTCTAGTGTATTATATTTAAGTAGCGTGTGTGCGAAGGCTGACGATGATGCCACAAAGAGGCCATACTTAATGCAAACAAAATAAACAAACAGACAAACGAACGAACGAACACAACATAACACACGAAAAATGAAACGAAATAGAACGAAAAGTATGATCGACGAATCTCGGACTAAATAAATAAATAAAATTAATTAATTAAATGAATAAATAAATAATTAAATAAATAATTAATTAAATAATTAAATAAAAAAGAAAACACTCGATACAAGTGAAAAACACGAAGCAGCTCGAACGGAAGGATCTCTTGCGTTTCTTGCGTTCTCTAGATCGTCGGTAGTCGGGGTCATTGAACGAGAGGTCATCGAATGACCTTACAAGTCTATCGGCCTGTTTTCTATTTCTTTCTCTTTTTTATTTTATTTTTTTTCTTTTCTTTCTTTTACTTTTTCTTTTTTCTTTTTCTTCTTCTTTTTTTTCTTTTTTTTTTCTTTTTTTTTTTTTTTTTTGTTTTGAAGAAAAGAAAACGAACAAAACGAAACGGAAAAGAAAAAAGGAAAACGAAAAGAAAATAAAAAAAAAAGAAAAAAACCTTCGACGTTTTACGTGCCATCTTCGTAGGAATTCATTTCGATATTTAAAAATAATAATTGTTAGGAACGTTCTCCTCAGTCCAGACATTCTCTTTTTTTCTCTCTCTTCGATTCACGATTAAGGTTGATATCAAACAGATACGACGAGTCATACTTAAAATGTAAAATAATCATGCGTATCAGTCGAACTTCGTCGTGTCTTTCTCGTCTTGGATGGACTCTGGAAAACATTTTTACATTTTTCGTATTTTTATTATTATTATTATTATTATTATTATTATTATTATTATTTTATTATTACGTTTTTATTTTTTTTTAATAATTTTTTTTTACTATTATTATTCTTTTTCCTCTCTCTCTACAGTATTCGACTCTTCGTTAAACGTGTTTTATTCGTTTAAATACAGCAGAGAACGGAGCAACAATCTCTCTTTCTGTGGCTCGAGATAAAAAAAAAAAAAAAAAAAAAAAAAAAAAAAAAGACGGAAAGAAAGATAGAAAAAAAAGAAACGAATAAAAAAAAAATAAATATATATATACATATATATATTAATCGACGTCGACTACCGACGAGTAGCAAGCCAATTCGCGAATTTGGCACGTATTTTATACTTTTATATCGTGGAGACGACGCCGCTTTTTACTCGAGCGACGAACGATTGTGATCCTCTGTTTGTACGTTCGAAGAGTTATATTTATCGATGTGACGTGATTAGTACCCTTAGGCGATAGTAACACTATACATATATATACATATATATATATATATATGTATATATATATATATGTATATATATATATCGTTGATAAGCAAACGGGGATAAAGCGTTAGAAGCGAACGGGAGAAATTAATTAATGCCGGCCCGTAAACTAAAACAACAATAACTACAACAACAATAACAACAACTACTAGTAACAACAATAACGACAACAACAACAACAACAACAACAACAACAACAACAACTACAAAATAAAACGCGTATAGCTCTCGGATTGAAATCGATCGACGAAGGGAAACGTTAGCGTATCGTATTCGATCGAATATAAAATAAATAAAAAGAAAAAGTAATTTCAGAGAAATCTCGTCGATTTCTAAGTAACAAATCATTGTTTATTAATTAGAATTGGAAATTTGATATGTTCGTTTTGTTTTTTTTTTTCGTTTTTTTTTTAAGACAAAAATACTTGTTTTAAATTAAAAAAAAAATATATATTTATATACGCACGTTATATTTGATTCAGGAAATTTTTATTAAAAAAAAAAAAAAGGAGAAGAAGAAATAGATCGTCCATTCGATAGAAATAAATGTATGACAACTAAATGTCTATCGTATATATCTATAAAAGAAGAGATCATCGTCATTTACGTCAATTTTAAAATGAATGAGAAAGAAAAAGAGAGTGAAGGATATCTATATATATATATATATATATATATTTATAGAGGGAGAGAGAGAAAGAGATAGAGAGATCTCTCCGTTTTATCTCAAAGATTTATATACTTTTTAAATCCGAACTAACCCAACACCTTATATATTCGGTTCAATACGATGAGTAACGCACGTTTTCTCGCGATCACGTAGGATCCCTCGTATGATAATTTACGTACCTAGAAATACATAAAAACATACAAACATACATACGTACACATACGTATACATACGTCGATGGTAGGAGCATGTAAATATTAGATTTTAAGCATATAAGGTACTTAAAATATAACACGCAAATATAAAGATAAAAAAAAAGGTTAAAAAAAAAAAAAAAGAAAAAACTCGATGTGTTCTCTCGTCTAATGCGTATTTCTCGAAAAACGTGATCTAATGATCATCATAAAACATAGACACACAAATACATATACGAAGGATCCTGTATATTTTCTCGGTCAGTTTTGTATTCTTTCTTAGTTATTTATCTGTTTCTTTCTTTCTTTCTTTTTTTTTTTTTTTTTTTTTTTTTTTTTTGTTATTGACTTTTTCGTTAAGATGAAAATTTACAGTGGAGAAGGATCATACGTATATACACACACATACTCATATATATATATATAAATATATATATATATATATATATATATATATATATATATATATAAAGAGGAAAAGTATATAAGACTTATTCGAGAGAAAGAGAGAGA